GAATTATCGTGGAAATCGTAACAAACTTAAAATGATTTTAAGGATTAGACGAAACATTCTAAAATATATCGGAACTGCAATTGTACTTACTTGGACGGGTTTTCCTCCTCTAGGTTTTGTTGAATTTGGGTCGTTTTCATCGTCCTACATTTAAAACAGACAAAACAGTTTGCGGAATCAGACATGAAAAGCTTTGGTATTCAACTGGAAGAAGAACAAAAAAGATGATAATTGCCTTAAAGCCAGCAGGATCTTTGGGTTCACTGTCATCTTCCTGTTGAAAAATTAGTTTTTTCACTGAATCTAGAATGGCTTGCAAACCACTGGCGCCGACTCGAGAAATATGAATTTTTTACCAATAGCATAATCAGCAACAGAGATTTCAGATACTATTTAGGATGTTCGTTATTTCTTTTGGTGATTTTTACCATTTCACGGAATGGGAGAGTACTTTATTAGCACTGAGACGGTTGCGGGATGAGTTAATTTGTCGAAGGTGAAGCTTTTTGAAGTGACGTTCTCTTTTATTGAAAGAAATTCATGAGTCTGAGGGACTTGTGTGATGTTGATGAGATCTGTAGTTTTTACTTACCTCATCAAGGTCTTCCTCATCCAACATATACTGCTTGAAAAGAAGTAAAAAAGGCACGAAATTATTTTCAAGATAATGAAATCTGTAACCATTTACCCTCGTCTTTTTCAAATATTTTGGTTCAAGAGCTCATTCTAGACGGTTTCTCCATTGAAGCCGCGAAAGTTGGTAGAAAATTTGCCCTGAATCTCGCAATTGATCCATTCACACGTAAGTTACCGGAATTATTTTTGGCTCTTTCTCTTAAATTAGAATTCAACCATTTGTAAATAGACAAGCCATACGGCATTTTTTAATGAGCGAGAGTAGGAGGCACTTAATTTTCGTTTGTACGAATGAAAAATCTCTCCACAAAGGAATCAACTCCTGGGAAATAAATATTTCAGGTAACTATGGCATTTAGATCGCGATGAACTCAAATTTTCAGAGTTATCAAATGAAATAATGATCATTGCGCGAAAGTGGAATATTTGACGAAATCATAGTGTATTTTGGTCTGTTCTTCTCAATAACTTGACGCGAAACCCATGATACAATTAAAATTCGATGATATCCTCGACAATAGATTTAAAAGTTGAGATAAAAAATTTAATAAAATATAACAGATCTCATTTAACGTCAGATTTAGCCGCGTCCTGATATTTACTTACGTCGTCTCCTTCGTCCTCGACGAAGTCTTCTGGTGAATCCTCGTAGGCTTGATCATCGTTCTCATCCAAATCGATAAAATTCGGCTTGATTTCTTCTTCGTCACCGAAAACGAAGCCCGCAGAGGTAAACACCAAAAGGCAAAGAATCAACAGCTTCATTTTGAAAACAATCGGTTCCGTAATCTAGGAACAACTTTAAATTTCTTCGATAAGGATCCGTTACTGTTACCGCGGCTAACACGAGATTGTGAGTTGTAAGTGATAAAAGCATGGTTTCTTCCCTGGTAAAGGACACGACTACCTTTCTCATGCGACGGGAATATTCTTGTTCGCATTTATTATAATTTTGTTGACAATTTTTACAATCTCTTTGTTAACTTTGACATTTTCACAAAAGTTAGCTAAGTGAACTTTGTTTCCTTGTCTGCAACTCAACTTCCGGTATTACTCCGCTGACCAACTGTTTTGAAGATTCAACTTCTCACAGCGTTTTCTGTCTGCTTTTAGTTCAACTCGATAGTTTAGCGTTATTTTTCCTTTATAAAATGGTAAGTTTTGTGTTTGAGGGTTCAATATGGTCTTGGTGCGTCTTCCGCTGAAATTTTACCTCAACTACTCGTTTTTCTCGAGCTCTGAAGGCTTCGATTGTTTCAGTGCACGAGAATAGGTACACCTCTGGTCTCGTGCCACATAGATATGAAAGCTCGCCTGACTTTACTATTTGAATTCTAGGCTACAGGAACGGATCGTGCGGCTGGGTATGGGATGATGTTAGTCAGTGCTGTAATTTTTGTGTATTACACGATATGGGTTGTCTTACTGGTAAGTACCATGGCGGTGTATGTTCTCTTGTACCCCAATGATCGGAACAGTCATTAGGATTGCCCTCTGGTTTTATTTACTCACATGAAATCTTCTACTAATACTAAAAATATTTAATTCTACCGGATTCTGATCAGTTTTAACCTGAAATAGCCACGAAGGATGTCTTTGTGAATCTTTTCACATTTTTTTTACGTGACTGTCGTTGTCATGGTTGTCTCTGTCTGCTAGAGTTGCAGTCTGGGGGTTCATTGTTAAGAGAGAAGTAAAAATAATTTTTTTAATGCACTGAATCGCAAATTGCATTTAAAATGCGTGCTTGTGTCGTAGAAAAGTTGTATTTTGGTTAATAGTTTTGAGATTTTAAATTACAAACCCCTTTTACATGCAATAACAGAGTATTCTGCAGACTTCATGTACTCATGCATTTTCTTTTTAGCCATTTGTGGAGAAAGGTCATCCAATTCAGAGATTATTTCTACCCAGAATATATGCTGTTATAATTCCAGTCATTGCCGGTGTGCTATTGTTAGGAGTAATAGGTAACTGCTCTTTTTTTATACCCCTTCCACAAAGACATCAATTTTTGGAACAGAGTAAGAGGACCTCTGAATGAGAGAAGCGGCATACAGTAGTGTATCCATACAGTAGTGGATCAGGGTTTTTTTTACTGTTACTAAATTTTAAGATAGAAATTCCATGGTTAGATGAGCAACCTGAAGCAAATCTGGGACTGCCTTTTTTTCAATGTTGTTTTGTTCAGATTTTCAGAATTATATTGCTTGTAACATCTCCAGCTGCATTTGAATTGGCAAACAAGTTTCACTAATTCTTTTGTTGACTTGAACCTTGTTCTATGTGAGATTAGAAAATTATGTGACAGAATATCATGATGATGTATATTTATAAGTTTTACCTACTTATAATAATTTTTATTTTTTTAGGAGTATTTGTCGCTGTGGTGATGATTAAGAGCAAGAAACCCACCCCAAAGAAAGAGAGTTGAAGAAGCTGTCTAGAAAATGGAATCTACTTTACAGTTAGACAAGAAAAAGATTAAATTATTGTATAAACCAAGAAACATCTGACAAATGGCAGATGCACATAGAAGAAGCTGTTGTCCAATAAACTCTATGTAGTATTTGATTTCCTTACCTTTTATAAAGTAAACATAATTTTGCTTTCACATACATCTTGCAGAAGAGGCTTGTGTGGAGCTGACATAAGCAGCCAGAGCAAGAACACAGGGAGAACAGAGTTTATTATATCAAGTGAACTGTTCAAGCATTTTGTATAAAAAAGGAAAAATAAAGAGGTTTGTGATTAAAGATTCTAGTAGTGTTGTTTAAAAATTTGGAATTTTTGTGTACTAGTACTCTTATTGTGAACTTTGTAAGGGTCTCTATGTGTTAAAAATCTCACTTTTGTGCCTGTTGAAAATTCCTACACTCCCCAAAATTTCATTGTATCCTTTAAGAAAAAAAAAATAAAAGTTTTCAAAGTAGCTACCTTTACTTTACAAAACTTTGGATTGATATTGATTTACTTCAAACACATATCCCAGCCACAGAAAAAAAAATTCCTTGAATTTTGACCAGAGAAATCCAATAGCCAGTGGCTAATACTTTGTGCAATTATCAGTAATATTGTAAACTGTTGACACCAAACATACCAGTAGTTTTACCTGCCTGCTTCATGAGCAAGATTTTCTTTGGTACATTATGATTATCACCACATTTAACAACTACATTTGGACAGACTTCAACCCCTAATTGCATTGTAAAAATTATTTGTCACTTGAATATATACATTTTACAGTTTAATCCTTTAACTCTCATAAGTGACTAAGACAGAATTTCTCTTTACAATATCAAGCAGACGAGTGATGAGAATAAAGAAAAATATTAATTAGGGGATTATTAGTTGATCCAACACCAAATTCTCCAAATTAACATCACAAGAACTATGTGGCAGATAGTAAGGAGAATCACTAATGAGATCTTGGGGATTAAAGGGTTAAAACTGTCCAATTGGTTATCTTGCCACTCTACAATTCACATCAAAGTAAAGTTTCCACCTAAATACCACATCCTACCTCTCAGAACACTTTTGTAACAAGGAAGTTCATCACCTGGGACCTGGAGGTTCTTCTTGGAGCTCATATGTAAGGCTTCGTTAATTTGGACAGTTTACCAACCCACAAATAGAAATAAACTATTCCAACCCTATTTGTAAGAGTAATGTATGGGATCTCTTTCCCCATGATATGTGGCTCATGGAAAGACTTTTTCCACAGATTTTTCAAGGACAATCTGACAACTTCAAGCACAATAAACTAGAGAGGATTGCACATTTATTTACAAAGAAATAAGAAAATGCTAACATAAGTAATAAGAATGCCAAAATTTTTTTCCTGAATGAATGACCAAGTTACTCTCCAGACTTGAGACAGGAATGATATGTCCAAAATAAGTCAATTTGATCTGCAGGCAAGAGACTCAAAAATATGTAGCAACATATAGTTGAACCCAACCTGTGGCTTGTATTTGTCACAGGAGCAAATTCCAGCCAAAGAGCAAAGAAACATAAGAGAAACTGGCCAGTGTACACAAGACATCAGAATATTCTTGAGTAGTGGACAGAAAAACATACACGAGTTCTACATGTGCAAACACTGTAATTAATCAGTCCCTTTCCCTATAGACACACTCAATGATTGTGAAAACAAATACCTGTAAGCATACCCAACCCATTTAATTTCTCAAATTAATATCCCTTGCATTACAATGAATTCAGAGGTGGTAGGACAGGTTATTTAAAGGGATTGGCCCTTTAACTCCCAAGATCTGATTGTCAATCCTCCCCTCTAGCTACAACACATTTCCTAGTAAATTGATTACGAGAACTTGGTGTTCAATCAAGGTTATAAATTGTACCTGATGAGTTTGCGTATTCTCACTACCTGTTTGCTGTACAACGTATGGATATTATAGGGAGTACTTACATGATAATCACCTCTGGGAGTGAAAGGGATTAACGGAAGGAGAAAAAGAGTCTGTGCTCAACCAAACCAACTGGACCTGTGTATCATGTCTGGTCAGGAGTAAGAGTATGGAGTGTTTTAGAGAAAATTACAGAATAGAGCCATAACTGAGAATAATGAAATATTGTCATTCAATTATAAGACAATTCTTAATAATATGTACAATTTTGAAAATACCATTTCTATACAGTTCATGACTATATGCCTTTCATGTACATAATTTTATTTTCTACTGAAGTGTGATTAAGATTTAAGGGTAACAATATTCAAACTAAGATGTCACATTTCACTATTTGCCAGCCCTATTATTGTAGATGACTGAGAATTGTGGAGTCACACATGTTCACAAAAACACACTACAGACTGATTCTTATTTCAGGTCTGGCAAAGAAGATCCTAAATAAACCTTAAGGCCTTCCACTGTTGATTTAACTAGCTTGCAGGGAATTGTGTTCTTGTTAAGTCTTTTGTAAGCTTCAAACCTATGGCATCCCCCAAATGAGTAGAAATAGTCACCACCTAATCTTCCTTTGATCCATAATACATCAATTGGAGGCACAGAATATCTTGCATTCTCATCCTAAAGTTGAAGAGACAATTTATTGCCAATGTTATGGAATGAAGGGGTCAGAGCAAAGATTTCCCATCAACCTTGTGGTCAGTTTTAATATAATTTCAGAATTACTGTATTTTACTTGTCAGACACCATTCAAAACACACTGTACTATCCACCAGATAGAGATTTGTCCAGTGGACAGTGTTATCCACCAATTGAACGATGGGGGTCTCGTTTACATTTATCATTTAGTGCTATGAGGAAACCCTCTGGAGGAATAAAACAGCAACTTGAATTTTATAAACAACCATCAGATAGGACATCTTATCTTACATCTGCCGGAAAATGTTCCTTTACTTGGAAGTTTTCCTTTCACAAACCGATGTTGATCGACATTTCAAATCCCTTGAATCTCTCAATCACACTTTAAGGTTGGGAGAAAACAGGTCTGTCACAGATAACTGTTAGATAGTTACCCACAAAATATGTTTTTCCTGCGAGTCTCCTGAGACTCTTCAGGAAACTTCTGTGATTCTATTGGTGTCAGCATTTGGAATTTTTCAAAGTGTAGACATAACTTGAAATGTGAATTGTTGAGAAAACTTTGGAAGCAAAAAGAAAACCTGCAACGTTTTAGTGATAATGTGCCTTCTTTGAACAAATCAATACATAAAGTTACATAAACTAGTTGATATTCCGTCTGAAGACTCCCAAGATACCGACTTAAACTGGTGTTAGGCTTGACAAAATTTTTTTGTCATATTCTTTGATGATTTCAAACAATTATTGTACTGTACGTTTGAGGGGCAAAACATCTCCAGCACTACTTTAGATTAAGAAAATGCCTTTAATAGAAGCATAGGATTGGTATCGAGAGAAAATCTGAACTTTCCAGGCTATAAATTAAAACACTCTTACCTGGATTGTTTTCATTAGAGACTGCACTTTTTCTTCTTCAAGCACAGAAGGTATTGGTCGATTGATGACATTCATCGGTACCTGATGGACTTCTTTGATTCCATCTGAATGCACACTGCTTCCTTCAGCCATTGATCGCATAAATGGCTCAGTTATGCAACAAATTAACGCAAATTTGGATTGAACCAAACGTAGCGGCCATTTCTGTATCATAGTTGAACGCAGCAGTTTTGGGCCATGATGTTCCCTGGGGAGAGTTTTCCAATGCTCGGCCAAAAGAACTGGTTACTATGATTAGTTAATTTTATTATGATTTTTGTTTAGAAGGGAAGTGATGATGTAGGCCACGTCGATCTGCAGCTTGACGAGAAAGCTGTGGCTTTGTCAGAGGTAAACTCACAAAGGCTCAAAAAGCTATCTGGGAGATCTGAGACATTACACACTATTCTCTATTAACGCAAAATATGGGAGTGACACGTACTGACAAAATTTGGGTGCTATCTACAACATTGCTGCTTAGAGGAGCCCTTACTACTGCGTGTCAAGATTTTCGTTTGCAAGGTTTTGTATGGCTACTTTCTTGGTCGTAGCTGCCTATTCCACCCACCATAACCAGCCTCTTAAGAAAAAAAATAAATATTGTGCTGTTCATAAAATTTCATATAAAGTCATACAGTTACAGTCTCGTTTGATCATATAGTCTGATCATATAGTCTGATCGTCTGGGTGTGAGTTTAAAAAAATACTTAAAAAAATACTTTATTGCTGAGTTATTTGGAAAAATTTTTTTCAAAAGCAAAATAACAATCTTAGTGTATGGAGTGGTATGTTGCTAGTACCAGTCAGACCGCTGCATAAGGTTATGTATCTTGCACTAATTAGTTCACGGCATTAGGGTACCTTAGTGTCAGAGTGTCGTCCCTCATATCGAATGTCTTGAAATTAGTAAAGGTAGCAACATGATTTCA